GATGTCGGCGTGGATGCGCTCGCCGGGCACCTGTGTGCGTTCCGCGTGCTTGCTGACGCTGTGACGAGTGCTCTTGGTCACTGCGCACGTTGTACACTGCTTGCTGCTGATGGCGTTGCGATCGTCGATGCCCATCAGCTTGCAGTACTGCTGCACGTCGTTGTCGTTGCGGTGGCCAAGCACCTCATGCATCGATGGTGTCTGCACCTTGCTCTGGGCTGCAGGAGCTGCTGCGTGTTGCTGTGGTTGCTTGCAGGCATCGGTGGTGAGTCCGTGTGCCGTGGATGGACCAACAGCAACAATGGGCCAGCATCGGAGGCTGCTGCGCTCCTTCAGCTTGACCTCGGCTCCGTGGCTGAAGCGCACGTAGTGCCCATCAGCGCCATCACGCTGCGAGTGGCCCGTTGGCCTGCCGCTGCTGTCCCTAGTCAGACGACCGAGGGCGATGAGGTTGGCGTGGCCCTCGGGCACGTAGAGGCACTCCTGTAGCACAATCTGCATCGTAGCTCCGCTCGTCGTGCGTGCATGCAACAGCACAGAGCCAACACCGCGCACGGGCACACGTGTGCCGCCAAACGCAGTGATGTGGCGTGGATGGTGCTGTTGCAGGTGCGGTGACAGCTCCACGAAGGCGTCCTTGACGAAGGTGAGGTGGTGTGAAGCACCCGTGTCTGCAAGCCACGTGAGTGGGTCATGCAGCTGCGTGGGTGTAGTAGCTGTGGCAGCGACGAAGGTTGCTGCGTCTTGACCATGTTGATGCTGTGCCTGTGCAGTGAAGCCTGTTGCTCCGTTGTCGCGTTGCTTCTTGCGACACTCTGCTGCACGGTGTCCATACTTGCCACAGTAGTGACAGTTGCCACGGAAGCGGCGCCCCTTGCCGTTGCCGTTGCCGTTACCGCCGCCGTTGTTGCGTCCCTGGCGTCCGTGGTTGTTGCTGTTGTTGGAGAAGCCGCGTCTTCCACCTCTGCGTGGCGGTGCGCTTGCCATGAAGCCGCCTGCCTGCGGCTGTGTGCGTGAACCACGCATCTGCTGCTCCAACTGCTGCAGCCTGATGCTGAGCTCGAGGAGGGAGGGAAAGCGGCCACTGGCAAAGTAGGGAAGCGTGAGCGGGGCTGTCCAGCGTGGCAGCTGCTTCCAGACGATGGTGAAGAGGTCCTCGTTGTCCTGGCGCACGCCTGCGTCCTGCAACTGCTGCTGCAGCTCCATGTGTCGCTCGAAGAAGCGGGCGAGGTTGCCGCAGGGAACGTGAAGCTGCGCCTCCTTGAGCTCTGCGATGCGGAGGCGGTCCTGCGAAGCGTAGTGGTCCTTGAGCCGGGCCCATCCTTGGCCGGCGTTGATGTTGTAAGTTCATGGTGGTGGTGCTGTTGTTGGAGACTTGTGTGTGTGTGTGGGTGCTGTGTGTGCTGTGTGTGCTGTGTGTTGTGTGAGAGATTGTCTTGGCAAGAGGAAGTTGTGTGTGTTTACTTGAGTTGTGAAGCAAACAAGGATGTAGGATGAATGAACACTCCAACAGAAAGAAACAGAGCAGAAGACAAGAATTGTCGACAACGCAAAGTGGTGACGTGGCAGTGTTTGTTGAGAGTTGTGTGGTTATGTGGTGTGTTATGCAAGAGCATGTAACATCGAGCAACCACACAAGGTAAACACTGCACGTGCAACAGGTTGGAGGGAAATCACGTGAACATTCCAGAACACAAGAGAGGTGAATGCAAATTTGTGGTGTCGTGAAGAAGGGAGGTCAATGATGACTCAGCAGACAGGACTTGCCTGTCAACACTCCCCCGCATTGACCTACCTCTCTGCTGCGTTGATGTTCTGAAAACGTGATGAGCATGTGGATGATGTCATGCATGTAGGAATGGCATGGGCAGATGTAGGTGAGATATGAGTAAGGACGTGTGTTGTGAAACACGTTTAAGAAAATGGTTGGTGCCTGTGGTGCGCAGCCTGTTGTGGAAGGCTGGCCCGAGTGAAGGCGTGTCCTGTGGTGCGCGGCCGCTCAGAGGTCCTGACGCGGAGTCGAAGGACGTGGCGACCGGCCCGAATGAGGACGGGCCCGTGGCTGGCAGCCTGGCAGAGGACGCTGGTCGAACAGCATCGTGCAGAACTGAGCCGTCTTGGGCCGAGGGAGGATCTTCGTGAGGAGATCTGCGATCATGTGCTCCGTGGCGAGGTAGCTCAGCACAATCCTCTTGGTGTCAACGCACTCGCGGATGTAGTGGTACTTGACGAGGATGTGCCGCATGCGTGAGGCGGCGTGTTCGGCAACGCGCTGCGCCGGCTGGTTGTCCGTGTGGACGAGCGTGGGCTCGCACAGGACGGCGCCGGTGAGCTCCTCCTGGAGTTGGCGAAGGAACATGAGTTCCTGTGCGGTGGCTGCGAGAGCCATGTACTCCGCGTCGGCGGAGGCTGTGGCCACGGTGGCCTGCAGCTTGGAGTTCCAGGACACGGGGCCCGTGGAACAGAAGACGACGAAGCCCGTGCGGGAACGTCGCGTGTCAACGTCGGAGGCAAAGGACGCATCCGAGTACGCTGAGAGCACGCCGTCGGCAGCGCTGCCGTGGCTGGTGTCGCCAGTGGCGGCGTACTTGATGATGTAGGACAAGGTGCCCTTGATGTAGCGAAGAAGGTGCTTGGCAGCCTTCCAATGGTCCATGCCGAAGTGCTGCATA